GCTATTTTTTTGTATTTTTTAGTAGAGACGGGGTTTCACTGTGTTAGCCAGGATGGTCTCGATCTACTGACCTCGTGATCATAGCTGCAGAAACAGGGTAGAGAGTTTAGGAGGTTTCCAAGGCCACTCGGGTTTGAACCCAGGAACCCTGGATCTGGAGTGCACAGCCGGGAGCTTTGCCTTCTGCTGCCTGCACGTGGCACAGACAGGACCCAAATCCTGGTGCCACCAATTGCACAGCAAAGGCTCTCAGAGCCCCCCATGCGGTGCTGGCAGAGCGGGCAGTCCTGTACCTGAGCAGTGGCCCTCCCTTGTCCCCTTTCCCCTGTCTGTGGGCCTCACTCCTGCAGGCTTCTCACCCCGGCCCTCTGCTTTTTTCCAGCATGCACGGCCCCACAGGGCATTGCCCCCACCCCCGGGTCCTGCCCAACCTGGTGGCCGTGTGCCTGGCTGCCATCTACTCCTGCTATGAAGAGTTCATCAACAGGTCAGTTGCTGAACCACTGCCACCCAGAGGGCTTGGGAGGGGCAAACTGTCATCCCCATCATGGGCAAAGTCACCAAGAACTGACCAGGCCGGAGAGGTGGAGTAGCTGTTTACTGGGCAGACTTCATGGTGTATTTGCCAGTTCCCCTGGGCCCAGAACCCAGGGATGCTGCTGAAGAAGCAAGTATGGAGTCAGCACCGCAACTGCAAGGCTGTTAGAGCTGCTTGGCTTTAGGGACAGATGTTTTATGCTGAAGATCTCTCACCACCAGAGAGGTATGACACACTGGTGTGTGTATGAATGTGTGCACATGGGTATACAAATGCATGTGTGAACTGTACACATACATGTGACTGTGTGTATGTGTGTGCACATGGAGGTGTGAATATGTGCCCCTTGTTGGGGACAAGGGTTGACAGTAAGGTTTAGCCTGTCTGGTCTTGCCTTTGAGAACACAGGCTTTTGCCCATGATTTGCATGGTTTTATTTTTTCGATACAGGGTCTCACTCTGTCACTTAGGCTGTGCTGGAATACAGTGGTGCAGTCATAGCTCACTGCAGCCTCAAACTCCTGGACTCAAGCAGTCCTCCCACCTCAGCCTCCCAAGTAGCTAGGACCACAGGCACATGCCACCACTCATGGCTAATATTTAAAATTTTTTTTGTAAAGACAGGATCTTGCTATGTTACCCAGGCTGGCCTCAAACTGCTGGGCTTAAGCAGTCTTCCCACTTTGACCTCCCAGAGTGCTGAGGTTACAGGCGTGAGCCACTGCACCTGTTTTTCTTGAGCGCCTGCCATGTGCTTGACACAATTTCAGTGCTAGAGAGCGAGCAAGATCACAAATTCCCTGCTCTTTTGGGGCTTCCATTCTACCAGGAAGAGATCATGTACAAGTAAATGTGCAAATGTCAGAGGGTAAGAAAAACCGTGCAAGCAATAAAACCGAGTGGTGGGGTAGCAAGTGACCGGAAGAGGTGAGGCAGGGTCTCCGCCTGGCTTTGGAGCCTCCAAAAGGAAACTCCAAGACCAGCATTTGGGTGGAAGTGGCTTCCTAGGAAGATGGTCCCAGGAAACACTGGGGGACAGGGAAGGAAGGACAGCAGTAAAGTATGAATTAATAAGCAGATGAGGCTGGGTGCGGTGGCTCACACCTGTAATCCCAGCACTTTGGGAGGCCAAGGCAGGCAGATCACTTGAGGTCAGGAGTTTGAGTCCAGCCTGGCCAACGTGGTGAAACCCCGTCTCTACTAAAAAAATACAAAAATTGGCCGGGCATGGTGGCACATGACTGTACTCAGCTACTCAGGAGGCTGAGGCAGGAGAATAGCTTGAACCTGGGAGGCAGAGGTTGCAGTGAGCCAAGATCATACCACTGCACTCCAGCCTGGGCAACAGAGTGAGACTTCTTCTCAAAAATAAATAAATAAATAAGCAAGCAAGCAATCAGGTGACCACTTCGGGCAGCTGGCATGCACTCCCACTGTGCCCCAGGAGGCCATGCGGAGCACACTGAGAATTGCTGTGCTGAGAGTTGCTCAGCCGAGACTGGCTGTGCTGGGGGAGTCACTCACCAGCTCCCATCCCTCGCTGGCTGAGAACTGCTCCCGGGATGCAGACTGATGCAGATGCCATTACTTTATGGGGAACTTTCTGCAGTGACCTCTGGTGTCATTGGAGGGGATGTGACATGCAGAACGCAGTGGTCTCTGCTGCAGCCACCCAGTTGTTCAGGTGGTACACTGCACAACTCTAAGGAGACCAACATGAGTCCAGACCCCGCCAGAGCTAGGGATACGGCAGGAGGGTATTTCAGTCTTTTCTCAAAATGAAGGCGGTAGAGCATTCAGAGTAGCTGAAAACCTGGCAGGGGGTGCTTCTCAAACAAATGCCATACTGCTGAGATCTTGGGAAGGGGCAGGAAAAGGCATTTGATAAATCAGGGGCTGCTTCCTTGCAGCAGGCCATGAGAGAGGGTCACTGTTTTAATGCCTTCAGCCTCAGGTCCCGATGTTCAAAGGGGACCATGTCCCACCTTGAATCACTTCCCTGATGAGAAAGAAGTGCAGGGACTCCAGGGGCCAGAATGTGGAGATGGGAGGCTGCTCATTCCCAAGGGCTTGTTCTGGAGCTGACAACACGGTAAGGCAAAAAGAGGAGAAAACGGAAGCCAAAGGGTAGTGCCAGGCCTTCACTTTTTACATTTTTAGTAGAGACGGGGTTTCACCATGTTAGCCAGGATGGTGTCAATCTCCTGACCTCGTGATCTGCCCACCTTGGCCTCCCAAAGTGCTGGGATTACAGGCATGAGCCACCGCGCCTGGCCTACAGTATTTAAGTTATACCCAGAGTGTGCAGGAGCCAGCTCACCTATTTCTTTTGGGAACACGTCCCTTCCAAGTTCTGTAATGATATCATATCGGTAGCTTGAAGTAGCTGTGGTGGGAGTCTTTACACAAAAGAAATTGGTAAGCACTGCAGATCAGGGCTTCTTCCTTTTTTTGAGACAGAGCTTCGCTCTTGTCGCCCAGGCTGGAGTGCAGTGGCACAATCTTGGCTCGCTGCAGCCTCCACCCCCTGGGTTCAAGCGATTCTCCTGCCTCAGGTTCCTGAGTAGCTGGGATTACAGGTGTGGGCCACCACACCTGGCTAATCTTTGTATTTTTGGTAGAGATGGGGTTTTACTTTGTTGGCTAGGCTGGTCTCGAACTCCTGACCTCAAGTGATCTGCCCGCCTCGGCTTCCCAAAGTGCTGGAATTACAGGCGTGAGCCACTGCGCCCAGCCAGATCAGGGCTTCTTTCTTTGGAGAGTTGGTTGTTAGACATTTACCAGCGTACCTTGGGTTATATCTCAGGTTTTTAAAAAAAAAAAAAGAAACAAAAGGGTGCCCAGGACCCTCCCAGTGCCATTCTGATTTAATTAGGATGGCCCTGGCATCTGTTTTTGGAAGGAGCCTCAGGGAGGTAATATTTACGTTGATACCTCCTGGCTGTTCTCCAGGTAAGAAGCAGGAAGAAGGTGACCCAGGGAGAGAACCACACGGGCAGAGGCCTGGCAGTGATGGGTAAAGGTGCCATTGGTCACAATGATTTTGTTTTTGTTTTTTGGATTTTTTTGGAAACAGTTTCACTCTGTCACCCAAGCTGGAGTGCAGTGGCGCAATCTCTGCTCACTGCAACCTCTGCATCCTGTCTTGAAGCAATTTTCATGCCTCAGCCACGCAAATAGCTGGGATTACAGGTGTGCACCACCACACCTGGCTAATTTTTATTTTATTTTATTTTATTTATTTATTTGTATTTTTAGTAGAGATGGGGTTTTGCCATGTTGGCCAGACTGGTGTCAAACTCCTGGCCTCAAGTGAAATTCCCCCCTCAGCCTCCAAAAGTGCTGGGATTACAGGGGTGAGCCACCGTGCCCGTCTACAATGTTTTTGTATCTATGGGTCCTTGAACCACTACTTCAGAATCACCTGGACTGCTTTAAAATAGATTCCTGGCTGCAGTATTTCTGGGGTATGGCCCAGGAGTCTGCATTCTAAACAAACTGCATAAGTCATTCTGCTGCACGCTGAATGTGGCGGTCCCTGCGGGGGAGGAGCCAAAGGAAATCCAGTGTGACTGGAGCAGAGAGAAGGAAAGGGAAGCAAAAGATGGAGTTGGAGAGAGAAGCAGCGCTGGGCCATGAGTAGGCAGCTTCTCACACCTCCTAGTGCCTGGGACTCTCTAGGGCTTGGCATTAAAATGAAGATTCGGATTCAGCAGGTCTGGGGCAGGACCTGAGACTCTGCTTGTGTCACAAGCTCTCAGGCGAAGCTGTGGGCTGGGGATCACACTGTAAGTAGCGGGGCCGTCCTGGGTTTCAGTGGCAGAACTTTTATCCTGGGAGCGTTGGGGAGTCCATAGTGGGTTGTAAGTGGAGAAGGGACGTGATGGGATTTCAGTTCCATTCCCCTATGGCTGCTGCTGTGAGGAGGATGGAGTAGGGGGCAGATGTGACCCTGGGGAACTGTTAGGTGGCTGTGGCAAGGAGATGCCAGGTTGGAGGCTGGCGAGGGTGAGACAATGCCTGCTGCCTCCCGCCCACCCTGGCTCAGCCATGCTGAGCCCCCTCGGAGCCCACGTTAGCTTGGGTTCCAGCTGATGCCATAAGTTTCCTGGATGTCACCCAGAGAAGCACGATACTGCCAACATGTTTCTTGGGCTCAGGTCCATGACGCCCCCTCAGTCAGTCCCTTCAAGATAAAGCCCGTCATGTCCTCCAGGCCATCCACAGTGCTCTTTGTGGGCAAATGTACACAATGTACTCACACTGAAAAGAACAGACAGCTTGACCCAGGTTAGCGTGGCTCTTTCGAAAATCACCAATCTGAGCCAAACAGCCTTGAAAATCCACTTTTAAAACCCGGCAAAGGCAAACAAAGAGAAATGGAGTGTTGAGCACTTGGGGAGCAAATCAGATCTGAACCAAAGAATTTAGGTCTCTCCCCATCACAGACCACACACAAGTTTTTATCAACGATAGAATTCTCGGACTTCAGCCGGCGGATTATTTGTCCCAGCAAAGCTGAAAGTATATTTATTAAACACCCTTGGTGGGCTCAGCTCGGGCCTGGTTTCTGGCATGTGCTGGATCCACTCAGACCCTTCCTGTGCATGGGGCTCAAGTTCTGCACACAGCCCTTGGAAGGGCTACTCACAGGCTCCCTCCCATCCCTTCCCCCAGCCACAACAATTCCCCAAGCAGAATGCCCGCAGTGTGGCTCTGTCCTCAAGCCTGGGAGCCCCTTTAGAGGCACAGGATCCATGCCTGTGACACATCTGGGGAAGGACTAGACAAGCAGCTGTTCTCAATCATGCCATTGTGCTCGAAGTCTTGGATTAGTGGATCTCAACCTTGACCACACACATGAGGAACCTTAAAAATTGCTCATGTCCAGGTCCCACCCTGGAGATTCCTGTCTAACTGGGCTTTGGGATGTTTAGAAGTATACCCGGGGGATCCTGGTGTCCAGCCAGGGGTGGAAAGCTTTGGTTTAGGAGGAGTTCGAGGGTAGGAAGGGCAAGAGTAGCAGGAAGAAATCAAGGAAGACTTCCTGGAGGAGGGGACCTGCACAGATCTTAGGGGACCTTGGAAGCCAACCTAGTTAGAAGGATCCTGGGCTTTGGGGTCCGGGAGATCTGGTTTCAAATCCCATCTCCATCAACTCATGGGCTGTTTAATTAGGGGTAGATCATTTAACTTCTGAGATTGTCTTTCCTCGCCTGTGGCACAGAGACAGGAATCACTGTTCAGTGATGTCTGTGAGCATCTGTATGACTGCACTTAGCACTGTGCCGGCCATGGGCTCCAGCAGAGGAACCAGTTGATGGTGCTACTGTCCCTTACAACAATGCACCTCCCAGGCAACTGGGCACCTTGGGAAGCACTCAGTCAGAGGAGGGACTTTAACCAGGTCAAGGCTCTGACAGGTCCTGCCATTAAGAGGCCTAATGTCATCTTGTTTGCCCCAGCATTTCCCTAACAAATGTGAGATTAATAATGCCATAGAGCCCCTTTCTGAGTTAACACCTGTTAACACCTTGTGCAGGCTTCTGTTCCTCCGGGCAGTCAGAGATGCTGTGCCTGGAAGGTTACCCAGGAGGAATGGGGGTTCTGCAGACAGGAAGGCTAGACTCCAGGGCCCAGGCTGGAATTCTGGGGTTTGGGATCCCATTGAAGTGGGTTCCCAGGAGGGCAGATACTGAGCTTGCTCACTTGGCTGGGTTTGAGGGCAGGAGAGCAGAGTCCTGGAGGACATTGTGAGGTCAGGGATTGGAGGATAGTTAAACCGCAGGAAGCAACTTGGACTCAGGAAGGGGAACATCACACACCGGGGCCTATCATGGGGAGGGGGGAGGGGGGAGGGACTGCATTGGGAGTTATACCTGATGTAAATGACGAGTTGATGGGTGCAGCACAGCAACATGGCACAAGTATACATATGTAACAAACCTGCACGTTATGCACATGTACCCTACAACTTAAAGTATAGTAATAATAAATAAATTAAAAAAAAAAAAAAAAAAAAAGCAAAATAGTAGATCCCGTTGGCTTATCAAGAAAGTGGCCAGTGGTGTTTTGGTGGAGAATGCCAAGAGCCTTATGGCTGTCATGTAGAGATCAGCATCCATTCAGTCGGTCAGCAAAGGTTTATTGAGCGCCTGTTATGTGCTGAAGTGACAGCATGGACTGTAGAGACAGGCAACCTGGGTTGGGCTGCCATCCCCACCTCTTCCTGTCTAGACCTTGGGCAAGCTGCACACCCAAGCTGAGCCTCAGTTTCCTCATTTCTAGCACAGAGATGATGATAGTATTACATTGTGGCCTCATCCTGGGATTCAGGAAGGCCTTTAGCCTGGTGGGTCATGGTGCATCATGAACGGTGCCTGTACTCATGTGCCCTCTCCCACCTCTTCCCCCAGCCGCGACAATTCCCCAAGCCTGAAGGAAATCCGGAATGGCTGCCAGCAGCCGTGCGACCGGAAGCCCACTTTACCTCTGCGCCTTCTGCACCCCAGCCCGGACCTGGTGTCTCAGGAAGCCACGCTGTCTGAGGCCCGGCTCAAGTCGGTGGTCGTGGCCTCCAGTGAGATCCACGTGGAGGTGGAACGCACCAGCACTGCCAAGCCGGCGCTGACGGCCAGCGCGGGCAACGACAGCGAGCCCAACCTCATCGACTGCCTCATGGTCAGCCCCGCCTGCAGCACCATGAGCATCGAGCTGGGCCCCCAGGCCGACCGCACGCTCGGCTGCTATGTGGAAATCCTCAAGCTGCTGTGAGTGCTCCCCGCGTGCGCGCCCCCAGGGCGGGCGGGAGGAGAATGGGCTTTGCTGCTGGGTGCGGCTGTGTGTGTTGGTTCAAACTACGCAGGTAGAGTGGTGTGTGTGTGAGTGCACACGAGCTGGTGTGTGCAAGAGTGTGCATAAGCACAAATGTGGCTGTGAGTACAGGCATACAGGGTGCATATGTACAGGTGGGTGAGGGACACGTGGGTGTGTGCACAGGTGGCTGTGGTTTTGTATCTGTGAACATATGGTGTGTGTATACACACACGTGGGGTGCATGCATGGCTTTGTACCTGTATGCTTGAGTGCCTGGGCACATGTGTAAGGTACATGCCCAAGCATACATGTGTACATAACGTCTGCACGAGTTTGTGTGTGTGTGAGGATCTGGATACATCTGCCAGGGTGTGCAGGAGCACAAGGGTTCCCAAGTGTGTCTGTATGTGGACATCTCTGGTGTGTTGGGTGTGTGGGATCCTCTGAGCTTGTGAGTGTCTTTGTGTGCGTGAACGGCCATGGGTGGATGTGGGTGCGACGGCACACGTGGTCTGCTGAGTGTGGGTGTTTATAGGAGATGGGTGTGGGCATGCATGTGGATTTCTCTGTAGGGGTGTGTGTGTGTCGGTTGGTGTGTGTGTGTGTGATGAATGCACAGAGTGGGTTGTCTACTCACTTGTGCTAGTTTTGTGCACGAGTGGTGTGGCTGCATGCATGTGGGTATAACCATTTGTGTCTAGGGTTGGAGAGCATGTGTGTTTCTGTGTATATGTTTGCAGGTATGGGCAATGAGCCCATGTGTGTTTGTATTGTGGTGAGCCGTGTATGCCGTGTGTCTTTGGGGTGTGAAGCATCTGTGCATATGTGTGTCTGAGTGAGTGAGGGGTCATGGCAGGAGTGCGTGAGTCTGTCTTGGATATGTGGCTCTGCGTATTTGTGCCGTGTGCCTGGGTGTCTGTGTGCGCGCATTGGTGTTGGCGTTGCCTGTGTGTGGGTGTAGGAGACCCGTGGACCCGGGGCTGCCTGAGTGGTGTGGCTTCTGGCTGGCCTCCTTCTGTGCCTGTCCCTCCCGCTCCCTGAACCTCAGTTGTGTGCTAAGGTAGAGGGGAGTACAGTTCTTAATCCGTGACCCCTAAGGGTCTCTCCAGCCTTGTCATCCACCACGTTCCACCTGACACATCTCAAACCCGTGAGCACCTGGTTCCAGGAGCCCCAGTTTGAAGGGACTCATTGGACTGTTCCCTTCTGCCCCCACAGAGCCCATGGTGGTTCCACAGACAGCTCAGGTCTGGCAGACATTGGCAGCACCATCCCGCTTGCCGCTCCAGCAACCTCTTCCTTCGAAACGAGGCTCTGCGCCACTCTTCAGGAGCTTGGAATCCAGAGATGGCGTCTTCAGATGCAGCTGCTTGTGGTTGCTGGACTTTTTGGAGGGGTTGA